TTTAATGAGGTAACGACGTTTGACAATTTTACGTGATATTTTTGATATAAGGCTGTTTGAAACAGCGATATCGGCTTGAAACCGTTAGCTTCATCAGCTCACAAACCAACCTTTAAATTACTTTGAGAGCTCGCTTAAGTTTTTAACTTGAAAGCAATAACTAAAGTATCTTTATACGTCTTCAAAAAAAAAAACGTAGCTTTTGAAAATTCGAAGTCGAGCCATTTCAGACATTTTTGATAGGTTATCATTTTGCTGTTTTAACAACCGTACATCCATTCATTTAACATTTGACAGACTGTAAAACATGCAACTTTTTCAGTTTTTTTTCAGTTCCTAGAAAAAAAAAAATTTCTATGTCGAAATCTTTAAAATTATTATAGCAATGAAAATTTTGGGATTTTGCAACGACGAAAGAACAGTTTAATTGCCGTTTTTTCCCTGTTAATGTTTCATAGCTGAAACCTGTGAAACATGTTGTCACGTTTACACCTGTGATCGGACAAGAAATTACAAGTCTTCCTGTAAGAATGTTACTGCTTGGGTGATAGAGATGATGACAAAACTTGAAAAGGTTTCAGCAGCGTATGTGTTTTTCAGACCAAATTTCTAAATTTATTTCCAAACACCGGTTATGCATAACAAATTTTTTATCCTGCTACACCTCTTTGAGCAAAGAGGAAGAAAGACGACGATAAGCTAAACAAATGTGTAATCTACAAAATTTTACTGTCTAATTTCTGTTTTCCTATCGCTACTGCAACTCAGCTCTGTAACCATTATTAAAATAATAGAACAACAGCCTAAAATTGATGACCAGTAAAATACGGGTAATTATAGTAGAAAAAAAACTTTTTTCAAATCTTATATGTGGTAAATTGTAGTAGAATGCAATAAAACTAGGTGTGAAAGGCTATGAATTAAAACTAACGAACAACAAAACGTGTGAGAAGTGTTCCTCATCTTATCTGATCGTCTAATTAACTGAAAATAACACGTTTGATTGACGTCTATGATGTCATTTGAAAAGTATTAAGTGTGAATTCAGTGATCATATCAAGATTGACAATAAAAATTTATTTTGTCCAAAACTATACAACTCACAAATCAGAAAGTCCATTAACCAAAAAATACAAACTTTTATTTTCAAAAAAAAAAAAAGAATTAAAAATTAATAGAAAATTATCAATAAAACATACTTAAACAAGAATTCTATCAGAACGAGAAGTTTAGATAAATATTATTGTTGAATATAATGTTTCCAACTACCGATAATTCGCCTCACCATTTCTCACTGCAGCTGAAATAGCAATCAAACTGCTTTCATTATTTCTTAAACTTTAAACTCTTCCGCACAAAATTTGAAGAACCACTAAAATTAATTACTTACTTTATAGAAAGAAGAAAAAAACTATCATATGAAAAATTAAAGCAATTTTTTGTCCATGTGCCTCAGATTGGCGAATAAAACCAATGTGTGTGATAGAAGAATTGAAGTTCCAATGACGTTTTGTCTGTTGAAATGAATCTGCAGTATCGAACAGTACAGGTTTATACTGTTTAACTTTGTTGTACACTAGGCAAAGAATAAAGTTGCAGTCTTACCCGGTTGTCTTCTTACAAGATTAAAGGCAGCATTTAAATCTGGCTTCGTACTTCAATCTTTATGCTTGACAACGCTACAGGTGTGGATTCAAGAAGAAGAAGTTTAAGCATTTGTTGAATTAATGTGAAAGAATAACTACAAGTGTAAAACTGGTTCGTTTAAAGTGATTTATTCATTTTTTTTTTTACTGAAATGTTACAGACAGTGAAGAAGCCAAAAAAAAGTGACTGAAAATAAGCAACAATAAATTGAGGTTTTTCAAAAAAAAAAA